CCATCCGATCGTGCAATCTTATCTGCATGGAATTTGATCATGATTTGTCTTCGCTGGCCTGTCGGTGAATATGTCATGTGCAGAAATCTGTCCCCTAAATTTGATGCCAACTTTCCTGAACCTTAAATCTTTTTTCTTGGCTGCACCCGCGCTAAAGTTCACATTCACAGAGTGGCCAACCTAGAGAAATTCACTTCCTGAACAATTTATCCGAATTTTCAAATGTTTTCAGTTCTGCCAAGAGCATGACACGGTGTGTTTAATATTAATGCTTCAAAGAATATTATCTCATAAAATTAATATAAGAAGTGACATTTCAACAATGCGCATACACACACACACACACACACACACACACACGTATAAAGGTAGGACACTAAATATATTCACATGAAGGCATTTTCAAACGCCAAAATAAAAGCAAGGCGCCCGGTAGTGCGTTGACCTCACAGTGCAGAGGTATCGGGTTCAATTCTAGCTCCGGCCTCTCGATATGGAGTTTGCATGTTCTCCCCGGGCCTGCGTGGGTTTTCTCCGGGTACTATGGTTTCCTCCCACATTCCAAAAACATGCATGGCAGGCTGATTGGACACTCCAAATTGTCCCTCGGTGTGAGTGTGAGCGCGGATGGTTGTTCGTCTCTGTGTACCCTGCGATTGGCTGGCAACCGGTTCAGGGTGTCCCCCGCCTACTGCCCGAAGATGGCTGGGATAGGCTCCAGCACCCCCCGCGACCCTTGTGAGCATAAGCGGATCGGAAAATGGATGGATGGATGATTAAAAATATCATTCACAACAGCTACACTAGCTGCTGTGGTAAATTTGGGCTTAGTGCCTGTGACGTGTGTGCCAAGGAGTGTGCGACAAATGATTGACACCTCGTAAAACATACCTTCGGTTTCTAATGTGTTGTTTTCTTTGGACTCACTGATTTCTTCTACATCAAATCAAAGGCAGAAGTTTGGGCCTGAGATTTGATTTCTTCACAGATGAAATTTACCTTGCACTCCTGTCAAATCATGACCGTTTTCACACATATGACAAAAAGTGATCATTTTTCGTGTCAGCTACCGAAGCATGAGAGGCTCGATGAGCTGTCCAGTGTGAATTTGCTTGCCTGCCCCAACGTGTGAACTACTACAGACAAAGGGTATTACCGAAATACAGCAAAGCGCCGTCCCACACATGCCAAAACAGTGAAGAAGAGTTTATGAGGTTTATGCGGTTACCGGCAATTAAAACAAGCAAGCATTTCCTCTCAATCTTCCATGTGCACATAGACTAGTTGTTTGGTTGATGTGTCTCTCCCCAGCCCTGCAGACATTCTTCTTCTCTAGCGGTGAAGAGATGACAGGTGCACAGCATGTTATTCTTAGCTCAGCAGATAACGATGATAACAGTGGACACAGGGACGATAAGGCGCACTTGTATCATGGACAACTTAAATACAGTGTGTAGAAAGCCAGGCCTTGTTATTTTACCTCCGTTTCATATTGCTAGCACATCTGTAGCAACGGATCAACAAAATGAATTTTTTTTCATCACATTTTTGCCACGCCACTTGTTGCTAGGCAGAATTCCTGGAGCTCCGTCCTTAGTGTCCCATAGGTAAATGGGGGGGAAAAAAAGATGCCACATGATAGCAACCTTTTGCTGAGCAAATTTACGAGATGACCCCCCCGGCCACCATGTATCGTCGCCCCTGTAAAGGAGCGTAAATGATCTTTGGTTTATGATCCCAACCATTGCCCCACATAAAAAAAGGCAGAGAGGCTTAAGTTGCCACATGCTGTATATTAAAACTTGGATGGAATGTTAAGGACGGGTTTGATAAGAAACTTAACGCATCCCGAAGAGACCATCCCTGCTCTGTTGTGAAATCTTTAGGGTGCGAATTGTTGGATACTTGGCAGGAAGTTAGCTCAAGTGGGAGGACAGAATCTTGGCCCTCACTTGCGGCTTCAAGTGATTGTTCTCAAACGGGAAGTGATGGATCATACCGCAATATTTCACTCAGAACTTCCTTCCAGACGTTTGCCTTCACCCTCAGTTATATCCTGTTGACGCTTGAGGATTGCATTAGCGGGTTCTGACGGTGAAAATGTTTTTTATTTATTTCGTCGGGGGGACGTTCGTTTAGCACCTGAGCCTTCAGTGATGACAACACGATCGCGGTGAAGCTGCATTTAGCTCTTAAACTGTTCCCAAGATGCCAAGCAAAGTGAAGTCAGTATGCTTTTAAATCCAGGTTAAAAAAATACCCCCCCCCCATATTTTAGATTAAAGTCTTTTAAACATGTTAAAATCTTTTTTTTTTCCTTTTAGTAATTAATAGAAACCTATTTTTATTTTTTTACTATTAAATCTTTCAAATGTTTTTCGAGTCTTCTGTTCAAATGTTTCAGAAGTTGTCAATGTAATGTTCTTTTCGTCATTTTGGCTAGCTACTTTTGGTATCTCCGCTTTGCTGAATTTTGTTAGCTGTTGTGTTTGCGAGCGCTGCGCCTTTACTTGTGTGTTAAGTATTTCTCTGAACAACAATCAGAGGACTGAAAAATGCTAATGTCATCCAGGGCCACCGCGGTCAGTCTGAAATCTGATTGGTAACAGTCCCGTTGCCATCACTACTCATTTGTGTCGATTATCTTGACATGGCAACACATAGAGACTGAAATCTGATTAGGCCAAAACGGTCATTATTTTGTTTCCGCAGTGGTCAGTTTGCAGTGGTCAAGCGTTGCACGGAGAAGAGCACAGGCGTCGAGTACGCCGCCAAGTTCGTCAAGAAGCGTCAGAGTCGGGCAAGCAGACGCGGTGTGCGGCGCGAGGAGATCGAGAGGGAGGTGGACATCCTCCAGCAGCTCCAGCACCCCAACGTGGTGGCCCTTCACGACGTCTACGAGAATCGCACGGATGTGGTGCTTGTCCTTGAGCTGTGAGTACACAACACAACACAGCCCAACTGTAGTTATTTTTTTTCATGTGCTATTTCAGATTGGCAGTAGTGTGAGACAAGCATTCACATGAACCTCATTCAAGTTTTATGGTGCATGACTGAATCAAAGTTATTTGGGACAGTTGCGGTATTGTTTTTCTCACTCCAAACCCTCATCGGTTCTAATGTGTTGGATTTGTTCCGTGACGGGCTCAAAGGAATGATTCTAGATAGAAACTGAGTGGTACCAAATGATGGCGTCACAGGCTGGATGGCAATGTCAAAATAAGTTATGCAATTAGATGTCCTCAATTAATTTCATTTTTGGAATTGATGTGTGCTGATAGCAATTCACACTGGATTTCTGAGCTGCTATTTTTTAATAAAATCACAATTCAATGGAACCTCTAAAATTGAATGCCCCTAAGGTTGAGTAATTCAATTTCAGCCATTTGGGATATCAGCATGTTACGCAGGCCTTAAAGGTTAGTTTGTCATCATGGGATTCATTGCAGTTCTGTTTTGTTTTTTTGTGGGGGGAAAATGTAACGTCCCCATTCTTGACATCACCCATGATGTCAGCATGTTGCGCAAAAACTCAGTTCTGTGTTTTTTGCAACCCTAATTCCAAACGACTGTCACCGATGCTGTAGTGATTGTGTAGTGACGTTTATGTAAAGGCAAAACAGAATTGGACCCAAGATTGTACCTTGTGGGATTCCTGTGACAGGATCTTTGAAAGTAGATGTATTGTGTATTTTAGCACATCGAGATGGGTTGTTTTTTTGTCAGTTTTAATAAAGTTTCCTTTTTTAAAATTTAGTTTGAATTAAGTTTCCAACCCCCTATTCACACTCACATTCACATCTATGGACAATATATACTTTTCATTTAACCTGACGTATTTTTTTGGAATGTGCAGTGCTGTTATCTGTGGTCTTCTACAACTCACTTGTTAAAGCCAACTCAAACTGTACTTTGGCATTTTCAGTATATGTTTGCCAAAAACTTGTCAGTTTGGTCAGTGAGTTTCTGTGTCCTTGTTTGTTGTTTGCTCTCATTCCTGTGCCCGAATGTCTCTCACAGAATCAAGAATGCTCATTTTGAATAGAGCCCTCAGTGAAGAGGGGCCCCGTCTGCCGCCCTGGCAACGTGGAAGACCCGATTAGAAACTAACTGTGAATGCTCAGTTTAGCGTCTGACGGCTTTTGTCAGCCGCGTGACGTGACAGAGTGCGTCACTAACTCCGCCATGGATTCAATGTGCCTTTTCTGGCGCGCTACCAGCTACTGATAGGACGCTCTGTATTTGGAGCTTTTCATCAATCCTTTTCAAGAAAAAAATCCTGCTGCAAGAAGTGCAATGTTGTTGCCAAAGCAATCCCAGGCATTCTAATTGAGCGCATCCCGATCCTGAGAACACACTCAGATAATGTTTGAGGGCTTGCTGCATGACTCACTGTGTGTGTCTGTTTGTGTGTATGTGTCACAGCGTTTCTGGCGGAGAGCTGTTCGACTTCCTGGCTCGCAAGGAGTCGCTTTGTGAAGAAGAGGCCACTCAGTTTATCAAACAGATCCTGGATGGTGTCCAGTACTTCCACTCCAAGAGGATTGCACATTTTGACCTAAAGGTACAACATTTTCACGTATCTCATGTGTGCGGGGGGAGGGGAAAAAACTTGTGGTTGTATGTACACGTAAGCAGTGTACATACAACCACAATGTGAAATATGGTTGATGTAAGGCCTGTCAGGCTATCGTGACCCACACTTCCTTCCTGTTTTCGGAGGCAGCTGTCCAGACTCTCAGAAATAAACACCACAAGGTTATCACATCTGCTTTGAAGAGCAGTGTCGCCCACGCTACACGCTGTCAGTCACCGTCCTGTTATTCTGCAGCCACAGCTTCTCACTCCACATGCTTATATTTCCGTAGTTAATTACAGTATTTTCCACAATATAAGGCGCTTCGGAGTATAAGGCGCAACTTTACTGAATGGCCTATTTTAAAACTGTTTTCATTTATAGGACGCATCACATTATAAGGTGCATAGAATAGAAGCTACAATAGTGGCTGCTGTTGCATTATGCATCCACTAGATGGAGCTATGCTAAAGGGAATACAATACAATACAATACAATACAACTTTATTTATGCAGAGCTTTCACGACTGCTGCAGCTGTAACAAAGTGCTTTACAGAGCATTTAAAATACTACGTCCAAGAAATCAGAACATTGCTCCATATACAAGGCGCATCGGATTATAAAGCGCACTGTCGGCTTTTGAGAAAATTGAATGCTTTTAGGTGCACCTTACAGGGCGGAAAATACGATAGGTTCGGTATCAAACGGGGTTGTCGTTAATCTTTTGGGGGGCTGGAGGCTTTGCCATTTTGAACTTGGTTCAAGCGTGGATTTGAGAATATTTTCCCATTTTGTGAGCGAGATGAAGTCCTTAAAATTTTTCCTGAGGATTATTATTCGATAAGTAAATCACATCTCACGTCTTGGTGATGAAAAGCATGTGTCGTGTCACTTTCCACTTCATCTTGAGTCCTATGTCCTTCTTAGCTAACACTGGCAGCAGTGTTACTGCAAATGGCAAGAGTGACTTGCGCTTGCCGTTTTGCACATTTGGTGAAAAAGGTTGAAACCTTTGGTATTTTTGTTAAAGCAAAACCTGTAACCTTCAAGTTAATCTTCAATGCACGTTGCAAGAGTGATGCTTTTGTATTTTATTGCAAAATCAACAGTTTAATCCCTCTTTGGCAGGGAACCATATTTGGTAGCTTACAGTGTGTTCAAAATGCGCCCTGCACACCTCATGATGAGGCAATAGAACTAACTACATGTGATTTTCTAATCAGCAAATAAAAATAATGCTAATAAAAGTGAAACTGTACGAAACATTTCAGCATCAGGTTAATAATCCTGATGTTTATACTTTGGAGCGATGAAAACCCCAAATTCACCAACTCAACACATTTGAATATTCGATAAGAAACCAATTATTTTACACTTTGAAAGTAAGTCGGACTTAGTCTTCTACATGTTGTTTTTTTATACTCAAGTGTCCTTAGATGTTTTGAAAGGTAAATTAAACTAATAATAATCACATGGGGTTGAGATTTAACATTTTCAATTGTTTCACAAAGAGGCCAATGAATGGCTACTGATCTGTCATCATTATGAAAGTAACCATTGCATTGTTTTGTTCTGTTTTTTTTAAATGCTTGCATTAAAGGACCCTTGGAGAAGGTATTTTGTGCTGTTATCAATATGTGTATACCATTACCAACACTGTAAAGTCGTGTCTTGACAACTACTTTTTTCGTTCTTTAGCCTGAAAACATAATGCTACTGGACAGGAACGTTCCTCTTCCGCGCATCAAAGTCATCGACTTTGGGTTAGCACACAAGTTAGAAGACGGAGCAGATTTTAAAAACATTTTTGGAACCCCTGAGTTTGTCGGTGAGTGTTTTTATTCGGTGATGGCTGCTACCAAAAAAAAAAAAAAAGTCTCCTAATGTTTGTGATGCGGTGGCGTTATTTGTTTTCCAGCTCCGGAGATAGTCAACTATGAGCCTCTGGGGTTGGAGGCAGATATGTGGTGAGTTTTGAAAGATGCTTCATGGCAACAAGGTGGACTAGTGGTCAGCATAATGTGACCTTTCCTTGTACCGTCTTCTCACAGGAGCATTGGAGTCATCACGTATATACTGTGAGTTGAATAACTGAACTTAAAAGTACCAAGAAGAGATGATCAAGGAAATTCTCATTTGCCGTAATTTCTTTTTTTAGTCTGAGCGGCGCGTCGCCTTTCCTCGGTGACACAAAGCAGGAAACGTTAGGGAACATCTCAGCCATGAGCTACGAATTTGACGAGGAGTTCTTCAGCAACACGAGCGAGCTGGCCAAGAGCTTCATCAGACAGCTGCTGGTGAAAGACACAAGGTGCAACAATAGCCTCTCTCACAATTGAAGACTTGCAGTTTCACAACCGTGTGTTTTCCCATTGTATTATACCTCCAGGAATTGAAACCGAATCTATTTGGTTAAGCCGAGCGTGATCCTAAGTGGGTTTGCATCACTTGTGCTCGAGGGTATTTACTCAGCTGCATTTTCATCATTTTAGGAAACGGATGAGCATAGAGCATGCACTCAACCATCCGTGGATTAAGGTACTGCGTGTGTGTGCGTGTGTGTGCGTGTGTGTGTGTGTGTGTGTGTGTGTGCGTGTGTGTGTGCGTGTGCGCGCTTGGTTTATATTGTGTTGTAGCACGTGTCTGTAAAGCAGCATGTGATTTGAATTAATACATCAAAGGGGCAACAAAAGTGCGCACAGACATAACGGGACCACTTTATCCGGTACATTTGCACAATGTAATGAGATGCAATTGTAAAGGGTATCTCAATGAATTGTGTCTGCCTATTGAGGTGATCAACAGGTCACAAACTTCTACCAAACAAGTGTGGCGTAGACATAAGTCAGACAGGAAAAAATAAAATTACAACAATAACGCATGCAAACTTTTTGCAACTTTTTATGTTTCGTGAAGCATGTACACATGCAGACTAGACTTCTTAAGCACTGAACCTATGTAGACGCTATACATTTATATGAACCCTTTCATGCGCCCTGTAACATGATAAGCCGTCCACTGTAGTAAATGCTGCCCCTGAAAGGGTTAAAAACACAATCAAAAGCATGATCAGATGACATCATCTTTGCGGTTAAATTCAAGCCTCTGCAGTTTTTTCAAAGCCAAAAATCTTTGATCCATCACTCGTTCAGTTGCACCAATAAAGTGGCCAGTAAATGTTCTGCCTGACCACTTTCTGCAAAGAGATGTGTTCCTCCTGTTTTCATGACAATTGTGTCCAAAAACATCATGAATGTTAGGAAAAATAATGCCCAAAGCTCCTAATCAATACGAAAGGGCCAAAAATCTTTCGAGCAACAGTTTGAGTTGCTTAGCCTAAAAGAATTGAAAACACGGGGGAAAAGAAATGCAACAGAGCCACGATAGACTAGCTGAATACTGTACACACAGGATGCTTAACCCTTTCATGCACCCTGTAACCTGACAACATGATATACTGTCCACTGTAGTAACCGCTGTCCCTAAAAGGGTTAAGTACTTTTGGAGTACTTTCATTTCATGGTATTATTAATGTGTTCCAACACTGTTTTCCAAAGTGCATGTTCTTGCTGTTCTTTGTTGTGCATATGCGTGTCATGCTGTAAGGTCACACACTAATCCTACAGAACCACGTCTACTGGGGAATCGCCACTGCGTGTGTTGTGGTGCTCCAATTTTGAGGCAACCTCTGACTCGGTGTTCCTCCATCCTTGTGTCTGAAGTCCTGTGGGCGTACGCCGGAGAGCCCCGCCCCAGACGCTGAGCGGAAAGCTGAGCAGCTGAAGACCAAGTCTCTCAAGGAATACGACAGCCAGTCACACTCCAGCATGATCCCCAACAACACCTACGCCAGATTTGAACGATTCACCCGAGTGGTGGAGGACCTCGGTCTGATGGAGACTGAAGTGACACAGGTGGCGGGAGCCCGCCATACCTTGCAAAGTGACCTGGAAGCATTGCTTGCCATTTACGACGACAAAGAAATTTGGTACAAACAGCAGAGCGAAACCACCAGGAAGCAACTCTCCCAAGTCCGCTATGAGTATCGTAAAGTGGAAGCCACCAGGAAGCTGCTGCGGGCAGACCTGACGGGCGTGCGCACCACTTTGGAAACCATCGGCGGGAAGTACCAGCAGAGGCAGAGTCAACTGGAAGCGCTGAGGCATGAGCTGAACTCTGAGCTGCAGTGGCTGCAGGAGGTAGTGCATTTTCTGGATCCACCGGGAGCTCACGGCAGCAGTCTGCACACAGCGCTGAAGGAGCTGCTGCAACAAGGAAAGCTCTATCCCAGGGCCCAAAACCCCCCAGCTGAGTCAAATGAATGAGAAAAGAGACATTTTATTTTCATTATTTTTATTTGTAAATGTCACAGAGTATAAATTGCAAAACTAGGGCTAGAAAAAAAAAAAAAAAAAGAATTGAAAAATCAGTTTTCATGAAAAAAAAAAGTGAGTGCACCGAATTGAATGGGTTCGTTTTACTTGTGGAGTCATTGAATCGAATTGCACCCGTGATACGTATCAAATCGTTTTTATTTGGAGAGATTCACGGTGCCTTTCAAAGCCTACCCCTCGTAAAGTGAAATTAAATATGTCTTCTAATTTGAAACGCTACAGAAAAGAGATTTGTTGACAACCCTGTCAATTTCAAATGATTAACGAGAGGCGCTAGCTCACAAGCTAGCCCACGAGTTAACAAGCTTGGACCTCGTGATAACTCAATAAATTGCAGTTGCGCCGGGGGACCACAGATGCGAACAAAGTTTTCTCCCCCCTTGACTTTTTTTTTGCAGAGTGTATACTGAAATAATGCTAATCTCATCACAATTTACTCACAAATGCTCAGTGTGAAAATCTGAGCCTCTTTAGCAGAACACAACGCTGGTATACTCTCAGGGAGACACTTATTGATATCTAAACAAGCATACCGGTACATTAATTGTAGTCAATAAATAATCATTTTAGATCAACGTGAATTACAATAAGTTGAATTTGATAACTTCCAGGTGCTCGTGCCCACGGTACAGTGGCAGGGACTCACCAGCGTGAACAGCACACACTAAGGGTATCATATTATTTTGAATTTCATGATGTGTTATGTTGTTCTGATCTGAGTTTAAAAATACAGAGTCGTCACTATACTGTACTATTTTGATGTGGTTGAGGTCAGGGGTTTAGTCGGGTCTTTCACACCAGACTCATCCAAGCATGCCTTTATGAAAACTTATGGGGCGTACAAACAGCACTTGAGGGCATAAACGTGGCCAAAAATGTCCAGATTTATTGGAGAACATTGGTGTCATGCCCCAGCGCATTTATTATTTTTTTAGCTCAGAGATGTATTAAGCAAGCATGATTTGGTTTGAATTTGGCAAGTGGAGGCAATGACTGTTGTGTTATCAATTATTTATGGCTTCACTGAGTTCTGAATACAAAAAGTGTCAAGCCAGTCTTTCCAACGGAATGCCTTGGAATCACATGTTGAGTTTATTTCTCATTCCATTTTATGATTTAGTACTGTGTGATTGTAACTCGGCACGCACTTTGCCATGATGTTGATTTGTGATTTTTTTTTTTCCTCCTCATTTTGAAAGCGCACTTTTTAATGAAGATACCGTTTATTTATTTATTTATTTATTCATTCATTTTATTGAAATGTTATTTATTTCTTGGCTATATTTTGGGAAAACTCAAAATATTAAAACCAAAACTGAAGTACTGTATCGGATCTTATCTGCAATACTTGGAAGATGCTTCTGTGATTCTCTTATCTTTACAGAGAGAAACAATGTTCACTTTTTGACTTCACGAAAACATCGACTACATTTAAATTCCTGAATTAAACATTTTTAAAAAGCAGTATGTTTTCATTGTATGTTTGTCCATGTTTCAATTTATTTGTATTCATCAGATTTTAACCCTTTCAGAGACAGCGGTTACTAGAGTGGCTTATCATGTTATCAGGTCACAGGGTGCATGAAAGGGTGAAAAAATGTGCGCCGAATGTTTCATTTTTTTATGTTGTCATTTCTTTCTTCCACAGCCTCACAATACCAGGCAAGCTATGGTCAAGAGGTTGTCAGTGGTCAACTTAGAGAACTTCAAGAGGCAGTACGCCAGGCGCAGGTGGAAGGTAAAGCTTGAGACCACATCCGATTAGCATCTGGCAGGAAATCATTAATTGTTCCATTTCACGATTCCTTTTTACAGCTTTCATTCCGGATCGTGGCTCTGTGCAACCACTTAACACGAATCATGAAGAAGGGCCACAAACTGCCGGCGGAGGATGGGGTAAGAATCACTTTGTTGGTCTTTTCCAAACCCATCTGATTCTTGCATTAAAACACTTTATTATTCGGGCAACGTGTTAACTCTTCGGGCACATGTTAACTCTAGCGTGTGTTTCTGTCAGAGGGATTGTGAAAGCGACCAGGAAGAGATTGAAATCCTGAAGAGGCGGCCCAGGACCAGAAAGAGAAGCAGCACTTCCTGAAAGAAGCATCTTAAAACAAGTCTTGTCATCAATGTTGCTGTTGTGAGACATTCAATCCCCACACACGCACGCACACATGCACACATGCACGCACGCAGCAGCTGTTACTCTTCATCAAGAACAAGCCTATATGTTTGAATGGCTGCTCTGGAATGCTTCTTTCGTCTCTGCGACCGAGCTCCGCCACATTATCTTCTGGCATGTTACATAGCATTTTCCATTAGAGATGACGTTTTTTTTTCCTTGCCTGTGTACGATTATTGTGAACAGGAACTGATGAGACAGTGTTGCTTCATGTCATCGTCACTGATGTAGACAGCTTCCGCTAATGACGCGCAGTCTTAAAATCCTTCAGCTGCCAAGTGTTGACAGGGGGATTGTCCTCTTTTTATTGGGTGGGCGGCAGAGAGATTGGTCCAAAATGTGGTTCCATTCACGCTTTATTGGGCAAGGAGCTATTTTTGCTCACTTAAATATGGTCAGAATAGACCTTGAATGCCTCATTATGGGGCAATGAAATCATTAGTTTCTTCACATCTAGGAAGTAAATAATAGTTTTAAAAATGTTGAATATTTCTCGTTACAATTGTGTTAAAATGAAAAAGCAATTGAATTCTAATATTTTTTGTACAGTCTTGTTTTGTCAATGTTTTTGAAATGTTGAATATCAAAGTATTTCAGTAAGCAATTGTGATGATGGTTCTAATTATCAATCATGCGATAACTATGTATAGATAAAGTGTATACATATGTAATATACTTTTTACAGCGCAAGCTCTTAATGCAATTATTTTGGTCATGATGAATGTCAACATATTTATGGTGTACATATGAACATCAACCAAACGTCTTACCTGTTTTAAACACAAACGCACCCATTTGCTCTGTTTACTTCTATGTACTGTTCATTGAAAAGATGTTAAATAAACTCCTCAACATTGCTGTAAGCGCATGTGATTTCATTACTTTTCTTCTTGACATCACATTATATTTGTAGTTTGTCATATTTGTGACAGACAAAGCCAAGCAGTTACCAGTATTTGCTCTCACAAAGGTCACTTTGTTTGGGTGCAGTCGCTCTGAAAGAAATTGCGGCCACCGTTGGAGCCGATCTGAATGAATGTCTGGCAGCAGTACAAAGTAGACCAGTGCCACAAGCACGCCGAGAAGGCAGGCAGCATCGAGTGACCCGAGCTGACATTCCTGATCACATTTGTACAAGAAACGACGTCATGCTTAAACATGTAGTACTTTCTCTTAAAATGGTACAACTACATCAACACCCTGGTTGGCTTTTTAATGTCTAATATACAAACAATAGGGTCTCTTCTCTCAATCTCTCCATCTATCAAGTGTGGAGTTAAACAGCTTAGTAAAAAGTCAAATTATCTGCCAATTTCTGAAAATGTGTCTGTGAGTGACCAACACCAGATTCCGCCGCTTTTACTTAAAATTGGAGTTAATTAACATAATAACCCTCCCCCAAAATGAGTTTCTTTTTCCATGACTGTGAGATAGGCTGGGTGAAGATCCAGAGTCACTGTCAAGCAGTGGCCGTACGACGCGGTCTGAAACCCGATCATGCAGAGCCAACCACTTCCCCCACAGTTGTGGTGTCCTTGCGATTAAGTGAATATCCAAAACGTAAGCAGAGCTGCATCTCTTTTTGTTGGATGAACAGATTAGCATTAACTAACTGCATTAACCTCTGATAAGTGTCACAGACTCGATTGCTCAGTGAAGGTGTTGATGGGATGGTAGCCAAGGTGATATTTGTGTTTGGTAATATGCCCATTCATTAATTTTTCATTCATTTATTCTTTTATTTCAGGCAATGGTCAATATAAACAAGACAACCAAAACATAATAAGCAATCAAAATTAAGACTTATCCCAGAAAAAAGGTGGGAAGAACAGAACTATAGCCTAAATAGGAACAGTGCAGCATCTGAACTGCTGCTGCCTTGAGGGAAAATGCTTTTATCATCTTCATGGTTGCTTGCTTTTTTTAAGCAAACCCTCCTCACAGTATTTTATTGTAGTTTGTTTTTATCGTTGTTTTGAATGAAAAGGAGTATTTGCTTTGAATACTGGATTACCACATGTGGCCTGACCAACCTTTATGAATGGACCTTTGAGTCTTTGAAAAATGTTCTTTGAGTTACTTTTTTGTATTTCCTTTAAAGTTAGATTATTGATCAAACAATGATGATGATGATAATAATAATAATCATAATTAAAAAATAATAATAATAGTAGACGCGACCTTAGCGTCAGAAAGGCTAAAAATTAGGGTGGAGGCAGGGAAAGAGAGAACAAACTGGCTGGGATCAGGAAGTGGGGAAGCTGATAAAGGAGACACACGTTAATTAGGAAAGGTGTGGGGGGAAATATGACATGAAATAAGATTAGATATGTATTATACAGAAACATTTGTCACATAAAATGATAAAAAGTTGATGTAAGCGTATAACCTCGGTTGTAGACATGACCTGTCAGGGTGGAACGTCTTCAACATAAAGTAAGTAGAGCTGTTTAGCTGTCAAGCTACAGTACTTTGCTCATTCAATTTTCTTATTCTTAACAATTTAACGACAACACGATTGATTTAAAATGTTGATTTTACATTACATATTCGGCTGTGGCGTGGTGACTTGACGTGAGAATTTGGGTTTTTTTGTTTGTTTTTGGTGACTAGTTGATTTTTTTTCTTCAGAATTCTGTTGTATTAATCATATTTCCCCTGCACTGTTTCACTTGAGGTAGCATGGTGACATAATTGTAAGGAACGGCCTCTTGTGTGACGTTTTCAAGACCTCCTGGTGCTCTTGGGTGAAATTAAAACTCGAACTGGTCCATAAATGTGAACTTGGATATGAATGGTTGTTTGTCCATTCGTTGCCCTACCATAACTGGTAACCTGTGCACTGGAAATTCACTGCTTTTTCAATAAAAAGTTATTGCGGCTATAATTCACAAGCTCACGCTGCCGATTTAAAGCCCCTCAAGGCCTTGTTAACAAAGTGCCCGATGCGGTGATGGTCGTGCACTTACTGGCATGAGGTGAGATAAGAGAAAGCATTTGGGCTCAGCTCATATCTGTGACTGTGCGGTCAGTCTATGTATTCAGTCTATCTCTAGGTTGGTGACTGTAAATATTTAAGCCATGCCTCACTGATACATGAGACGGCGACTCGTGAAGTGACGGGTCTTCCAGGATACAGCTCATGTAGCAGCCCTTGCAGCTGGCATGCTGGGATCAATTCTTTGGTTTACCCCCGATAGCTTTTCGGGATGAGGGGATTCTAGAGGCTTTGAGGCGAGATGATACACTGGGTAGTGCGTTCACACAACAAATAAGGCCACACAATATATGCTGTCTATGAAACATCATAATATTTTTTGTAGAATCTTTAGCAGTGTTGTGTGCATGGTGAAGTCATTCATTGCAATTTTATATATAGGCAACATCCTTGTAATTTTTTTTTCAGTAAAAACCCCCAACATGGGTAGTGCGTTCACACAACAAATAAGGCCACACAGTATATGCTGTCAATGAAACATCATAATGTTTTTTGTAGAATCTTTAGCAGTGTCGTGTGCAGGGTGAAGTCATTCATTGCAATTTTATATATAGGCAACATCCTTGTAATTTTTTTTTTTTTCAGTAAAAACCCCCAACAAAAATAACAATGACTCTTCATGTACTGTTCTGTGATATCAATACATCACTCTACTACATTGATTGTTGTTCTCTTACACTGAGAGTCAATACTGGGCAAAGTGTGCATGCATACTTATTGATGGTGTTGAGTTTGTTGCATTCAATAGTTTGACTGAGTGCTTCAGTCTTTGAGGACGCACCTTTCTTCCCATTTGACAATAACTCCACCTAGTGGTCTTTATGCAATACAGCAAGAAAATATAAAATATTTTCGGATTCTTATATTATCGCATTTTATTTTCTCACTCCTCTGTATGTATTTCATTTTTATTAATTAATCAATCTCCACCAAAATCGTACATTTTAATTCTAATAGGACATTTTGGACAATTCCCAATTTTGTGGCAATAAGGTTGCCTCCAATTAAGGTGGCGTTTTAAGGAAATTAACTGGGATCTAGAGAATAAAGTAGAACATTGCAAACTTTCAGGTGAGTATAACAAAACATGTAAATGTTAAAAAAAAAATTGAAAGATGCAGATTTTCTGACAAGTTCTATTGACGTTTTATTCCGTATTCTGTTCAATACTGGTGTGGAATAAAGGAACAGAACATTGCAAACTTTCAGGTGAGTATAACAAAACATGTAACTGTTAAAACAATTGAAACATGCAGATTGTCTGACAAGTTCTATTGACGTT